CAGTGCCCTACACAAATCTAACAATATTTTTGATTTTTCATTTAATTTATGAAGTGGCTCAACAAGTTGATAATTAGTTTAAAAAAAACAACCTAGTATTAGCGACGTACATGTAGTATTGTATATTATCACACCAAATATAAATTATTTGAAATGTGTAGGTTTTACAAAAAAAAAAAAAAAAACTGTTTTCATGATGGTAAATTTTCTCACTTAAAACACCAATACACACAGAATTAATTAGGTGCCGTACGCGAACGCCGGTTCGAGTCACGCACGCAGTACGTATTTACTATAATTAGACATAGTCTTTACCTTGCCGTTTATTCGGTGTTATTTGCTTACTAATACACACAGAATGACTGGCTGATTATTATCTTCCCTGCATTTACACAAGCCTTTCCGACCTGGAAATTGGAAAGTCAAACTTTTTTTTCTGCAGCTTCAAATAAACCTATTGCTGAGATGACAGTGTATAAAAAAACAAACGTTCTTCACCATTTTCAGACTCTGTCTTTGATTAACAGTGACTTCTGTTGGTTTGGCCCAACACTCACATGAAACTATGAACAAGTAACATTTTTTGCATTTGGATAGTTACAACAGACTCTTTGTTTTCACATCCTGTCTATTTTCTGTTGCTATTTCTGTTTTTGGTAATTGTAAAAATTGTCAGCTATTTCTGTCGAACAGAAACTTTGCCTGGGTAGCTTTTAGACCACATACTTGTATGTAGAGTATTATGGTGGAAAACAATACCCTGGCTAAGGTTGATGGTATGCAGAGTCTTGTTACAATCATGTAAAGGTCGTAATAGTTTATTGTAACATCAGAGGATGGCATCATGCTGATATCTGACAGGACATGTGGTCTACATCTCGGACAAAGTTACAGTTTAAAATCTAGGCTTTACTTATACGATTACCCTTGTATGATGCAGTGAAATCCGGCTATATAACTGAACACCAGAGAGACTGATATAGTGAAGCCTGTCTAAACTGAACACCAGAGAGACTGATATAGTGAAGCCTGTCTAAACTGAACACCAACAAGACTGATATATAAGTAAAGCCTGTCTAAACTGAACACCAGAGACTGATATAGTAAAACCTGACTAAACTGAACACCAAAGAAACTGATATATAGTGAAGCCTGTCTAAACTGAACAACAAAGAGACTGATATAGTGAAGCATATCTAAACTGAACACCAAAGAGACTGATATAGTGAAGCCTGTCTAAACTGAACACCAGAGACTGATTTAGTTAAACCTGTCTAAACTGAACACCAATACGACTGATATAGTGAAGCCTGTCCAAACTGAACGCCACAGACTGATATAGCAAAACCTGTCTAAACTGTACACCAAAGGGACTGACTGATATAGTGAAGCCTGTCTAAACTGAACAGCAAAGGACTTGATGTAGTGAAACCTGTCTAAACTGAACACCAACAGACCTGACTGATATAGTGAAGCCTGTCCAAACTGAACACCACAGACTGATATAGCAAAACCTGTCTAAACTGTACACCAAAGGGACTGACTGATATAGTGAAGCCTGTCTAAACTGAACAGCAAAGGACTTGATGTAGTGAAACCTGTCTAAACTGAACACCAACGGACCTGACTGATATAGTGAAGCCTGTCTAAACTGAACACCAAAGGACTTGATGTAGTGAAACCATGTCAAAACTAAATACCAAGGACCTGATACAGGTAAACCTCTCTAAAAAGATAGTATACTTACTAAATTTGAACATTTTAAATGAAATACACTGCTCTACGTTTGAATACCAAGCTGGTCATTAGTGAAGACTTCTCAATCAGACCATTACCCAAGTGATTCAACATGTTGAGTTGTCTGAGATTATTTAATGGTAATGTGACAATTTCTGACCCATCAGTCACAGTCCAGTGTGCCTGGCTCCAAACAGCCGCGACGCTTCGCACCAGTTTGACCTAATGTCTTTTTTGTTTTGTTACGTGGTGTTTTAGATATCGTTCACAGACATAGTTACTGTGTGTGTCGTTTCAGTTATTGTCCTGAACTCAACCACAACAACTTGTCGAATTACTCAGTTACAAGGGCTGCTGTGTTTTCGATTTCTGTCATTCTGTTTAAACTTTGGGAGTTGATCCTTTGTGACAACAGTTTGACGTATGCAATGAGTGAAAGCTTAGACTGTTATTGGTTGTATGGCTTGTGGTGTCTTTAACCTGCTTGTCATATGACACGTCCCTCAATGCAGTCTGTCAGTTACCGCTACCCACTTGTGTCCATAAACAGGCCTGAATAAAGCAACAACATCAACATATTGTCAATCCCGATATGTTGTGGTGTGTAAATTGATATAATAACACTTGTTATTAAATTATGTACTTTATTAATCAACTATGCTCTGTCTTCTTTAAGTCTAAGCCAATCAAAAATAAGCAGCTGGATCATTTCTATGATTTTGACAAGGGTGATTAAAACGGATTGTATGTTACACTTTTTAGTTATTTGTATTGTTGTTAATATCACATTAACCACGCCTTTACAATATTTTGAAATACAATGTAGCCCCTACAACAATAAATGGTTTCTAAATGTAGTCATTTGTTCATTCATACCAATCTGTCATGCTGTAATGTTTCCAATATTATGTGAAGGATTCTGTGGATTGAGGAGTAATGCATGTTTAAAGTTACTAATTTGAGTTTACCCAGCTGCTACCAACAGCTTCTACCAAGGAGTCTACCCACAAACCCAGTTTTTACCATGGGGTCTACCCACTAACACAGCTTCTGCAATGGAGTCTACCCACTAACCCAGCTTCTACCATAGAGTCTACCCACAAACCCAGTTTCTACCAAGGGGTCTACCCACTAACACAGCTTCTACCATAGGGACTACCCACTAACCCAACCTCTACTAAGGGGTCTACCCACTAACCCAGCCTCTAACAAGGGGTCTAACCACACACACATCTTCTACCAAGGGGTCTACACGCTAACACTGCTTCTACTAAGGGTTCTACCAACAAACCCAGTTTCTACCAAGGGGTCTACCCACTAAAACAGCTTCTACCATGGAGTCTACCCACTAACCCAGCATCTACCATAGAGTCTACCCACAAACCCAGTTTCTACCATGGGGTCTACCCACTAACACAGCTTCTGCAATGGAGTCTACCCACTAACCCAGCTTCTACCATAGAGTCTACCCACAAACCCAGTTTCTACCAAGAGGTCTACCCACTAACACAGTTTCTACCATAGGGACTACCCACTAACCCAACCTCTACTAAGGGGTCTACCCACTATCCCAGCTTCTAACAAGGGGTCTACCCACTAAGGCCTAAAATAAAAAAAAAAGTGGTGTGTTTCCGGTAACCCGACCCTACCTAAAAATACGTCCTGATCCTAATTTTTTTTTCAACATATATAAGATTTTAATTTATTACACAGTTTAAATTAAAAAAAACAAAAAAACTTGCTATTTGATGATGACGTTTCGTCTCGTCCCGACTTCCGATGGTGTTTGGAAATGTGTGGTCGATGATACGTCTTGTAGCCAATCAGCGATCGCATACCACATCACGTGCCACCATTTTACCTATTTTTAGATTCCAAAATGGCCGCCTCCAGTGCAAGTGCGGCCGTCGTTTGTGCGATAAAAAATGTATGTTCAAAGCACAATGTTCGGACATCGAGGTCGTTTATTTCTCTAACAACTGAAACTTTTGAGGATTTAGAAGATTTGTACGCATGTACGGGACAATCGTTCTGTGAGTTTGCGTTAGCAGAGAACGAACATGGGCCGTGAACAAAAATCGGAAACGCGGACTCGATGTTCAAATCGCCCGTGCCGAGCGTTGTCAATTCATTTGGGACTAAATTCATAAAGCTCACTTGTGTCCCTGAGCCGGACAGCACGATGTGTTCGGGACTTGATAAATGCACAGAACCCGCATCGCCATAGACGAACAATCCATTCCAAGTACTGATGTCTGCTTCGACTAAGAAAAAGTCTCTACCATTGATCAAAACCACAAAGTACGTGTATAAACTATGGCGCTCTTATAAATAACGTTCGGTATTTATTTTTTACCTGTATTCAGGAAATATAAATGAGTTACTTTTAATTTGTAACTGAATTTGACAATCCATTAAATTTTAATATAAAGTGCTTACAAATTATTCTGTCCAATTATAAGATTAATTAGGCTTCGTTATTCCGGGAATTTGACGTATTTATGTGTACCTATATATATTTGCAAACTTTATTATAATGTAAAAACGGTGTGTTTTATAGCAATAAATGTTATAAATAGTCTTTTTTTTAATTGATTTTATACAACTGTAAAAAATTAGAATAGCATAATTATATATTTTGTATATCCTAAAAACAACACACTTGCAAGTTGTAGGTCAATTTAATATTTGTTTACAGTTCGGACGTGAAGAATGCAGCAGGTATACATTTTGTATCAAGGAAAGATGACCTGCATGCACCAGTGAAGGGTATCTCCCATGCTGCACGAGACTCTATAAATAAATGAACATTGAACATGGAAACTTGAATAAAACTTGAATATCTTTGAAACTTGTCTTTTTTCACATTCTATTTAGTTGGCCTCAGTTGAACTAGATATCAACAATTGTCCTCAATGGCTGTTTTTGAATTCTGAGATCAACAAGATCCATTGAGTATGATACTTGATATCTTGGTGGTGTCATTAATTTGAAACTACAAATGTAACTAATATCAGTTGCCCATGTGAGCAATTTTGAACAATAGAAAGTTTTATCATCTCAAAATATAAATTCAATTAATATTTGGGCATTGAATAAAGACCCAGATATATTCATGCTAATTATATTTTTTCAGCAAATTGTATTTCAACTTGTCGAAATTGTTTGAATGCAAAAAAAAAAGAAGATTAATAAAAAAAAAGAAATCTGACCTACCCTACCTATTTTTTTCTAGCTCGTTACCTGAAACACACCTTTTTTAGGCCTAAATGGAAGCGTCAATGGTCATGCAGTTGCTGCGATGGCACATCAAATCGCCAGTAAATTGGAGTCAGGATTGCTGTCTTTGCCAGAGAATCTGATAACTCAACTGTCCGCACAACTATGGGAAGCAGTGACGTCAGGAGATAAAGAGAAAACGTGTTCAGCCTACAATGAACATGTTTGGGACTGGGTTTTATACAATTTTAATCAACAAAGCCATGACACAGTCTTTATTAATGTTTGCAAAGTATGTTTTATTGATAATGCCCAACGTGATGAA